GCATTTAACCTTGAAAAAACTAAAATTAGAAGTATATAACTTAATTGCTATGATACTTCATTCCATTTCCTCTTATACATTTACAAGCATCAATAATTGAGTAAATGTCTAAATTCTACAACTACTAAACAAAGCCTTAAATGTCCACGAAAGGATAATTTTTTCACCATTATCAAATGTCACATGTATCTATCTATCTAGGGCCATGTTAGCCCAAAGATATAGAACACAGGGAACCCACAAAAGCATTATCTGAAATCTCAACATGCCCGTGAATCAAGGATGTCCAGAGAAACGCATTTGGTTGAGGAATTTGATCGAACAACTTGCGAGCATGATTGGTTTCACCAAACTTTCACAGATTCTAGGAAACTTGTTTATTATGAGATCCAATGTGGCAAAAGTGCCGTCAATTAGAAAATGGGCATGGACGAAACGCAAGGTTCTGAGCGGATTGACCTTGTTCAAGAATAGCAGAGAGTGATTCATTTCATGGCACCTAAAGAGAGAGGAGTCTTAATGGTCTGTAAAATTCTGTTTTTGAGATCAAAGATTAATAAGTGATGGGTCTCAAAATGGGTATGCCATGGACTTGGGCTCAATTTTCATTTCTCAAATCTCAAACTTGATTTGGTTTAATTTTTGTTTTTACTAACCCCTTAATATCTAAAAATTATATTGAATCTTAATATCTAAAAATTATATTGAATCTTAATTAACCGGAGTCAAGTTGAGTCAGACTATATGTGTGAAGATACTCTTCCAATATCTGTTTTTTCATTCAGAAGATTTTAACTCGAGAGTTTACTTAAGAAGAACCGAGTTTCTTTTATTTGAATCAACATATTATTGGTAATTGTAAACAATTTATTGTGTTATCAAAAAAATAAAATTCAAAACGTTTTTTACCCTTTAAAGTTAAGATTTTTTTTATAAAACTATTATAATAATCTTAATAAACTTTTTTTTATGTGTTTCTTTATTAAAAATATTATAATTTTTTTTATTATTTCTGACATTTTAATTGCTGATAAGTCTTATAATTAAATCCTTAATCTCTTTATTGATTAGTGAAAAAATTTAAGAGTGCAAGAAACTTGAACAAGAGTGAGATTGGGAAAATGAAGCTTCCAAAAATTTCCAATATAACTTTAAACTAAATTTCACGATGATAAAACAATGGATGTAGAAATCCAGTTCTCTAGAACCTAGTACCGGTATGTGTGTTCGGTGTCATCATCATGGAGAGTTGTAAGCACCAGAGTTCTACCTCTTTAACATACAGGGAAATAAAATCAAGTGATGTTAAAACAGAACTAAGAATTTTGAACAAATATAAGTTACTTCAATCAGATGCTTTGGATCATTCTAAGCTCAGTTTAACCGATTCAGGCCTGCAAATACATAAGAAAAGACGTTAGAATTCGTGGATGCATAGCATGAAACATATAGTCTACTATCAATGGAGCAATGTCTGGCTTTCAACTCATTGTCCGGCTTTCAACTCATTGTCCTGTACAAGGCTTTTTTTTAAGTCGAATTGTTTGTGAAATGCATATTTTAATTAAGGCAATAGTCTAAACCATCTCAATAACATATTATCACAGAGAACCCACACCATCAGGTAATGTTTGCAATGTTTTTGGGTACATCTGAGACTGGATTCATTTGAAGACACACACAATAGCACTACTGTGATTGAATTCATTTGAACTGAATGAATTTTGGCAAACTGAAGGAATGAATAGGTTAAACACAGCTGTAAAAGCACTAAAGGATCTGTGGATCTTAGGTTAAGTAGCTATCAATTATATGTCATTGGGAATTTTAGTCTGTCTTTCTATCTTTGATTCCAAAATGTTAGCCCACTTCTAACACTAAGCAAGTAAGGATTAATATTTCATGTTGCTGCTGGACTCTCTATTATATTATAAATTTCCATAAAAGACAACAAAATCAATACTTGAGGGCAATGGAAGAGCATATCAGATTTAACTTTCCTTCTTGTGCAACTCAAAAAGGCCAACAAAGAGGAAGAACTTCAGAAAAGGGATCAGTTAACACACCTGCTGCTTTTTCTTCTTTGGCCTTCTCTTTCGTCGTGGTTTGCGAGCATCAGAGCCTGAGCTTAAATTGCTACTGGGACCTGTTTTGGAATTTGAGGATCCTCCTAACTTAAAGGATGAGCTGCTTCTGCTATTCGATGTGTTGCTGGATGAGGGCATTTCAGCCCTCCTCATGGCTGAATTTTTTCTGGAAGAAGATGCAAACCTTGATTGAGAGTTTACTCTACTTTGAAGAGAATTAGCTGATGGCCTGGGAGGTGGCATTAATTCTCTGGCAGAAATCTGTCTCTGTAAAGATGATAAGTTAAGGTGAGGAAGATTGAAAATGGAAAACTGCAAAAAATGCTAAATCATTAGCTATTTTCTCAGAGAAGCAAATATTCAAATTAGACATCAAAACCTGATTCCTTTCATCACTGGACATGCCAGAAGCTGCGATACCAGAAGCACTAGAAGCCTGTTCCCTGCATACAAATACCAGATGTTCAGATGTATTTCTTATCAGATAAAAGCATTTTGAATATAAGTTCCTTGGCCACTCAAACAAAAAGATAAAATAAATGGCCTTGGTTACAGGAGAGCAGGACCGACTGCTCCCAATTAGTCAACTACCATCATAAGTATGCATATCTTCAGATCTTTATGTCTACTTTTATTTGTTCATCTGTCTCTGCAACTTACTCCACTTCCAAAATATAATTAAAGTTTCCATTAAAATAAGAAATCTAATGTCTAAACTTATAAATGAAATACATACCTCGCACTTTTGTCAGTCCATTCATCATCTGCATCTGCTTCATCACTCGAGCTTCCAGACAAAAAGAAATCATCTTCGCTCATGTCCAACAGTCCATCATCCTCACTTCCAGTCTCTGTTGATGGAATTTAAAAGAGAAGACTTCATCCTTCTCCATATATCAATTTATTTAACAAACATGCTTTAGCAGGTAAAGCAGATATCATAAAAAGAACTTGGCAGTAGCATCTCCAAATGTCTGGAAACAATATTGATAAAATACATGGAATTATGCAAAAGATAACTTCACTTGAATTCTAATATCCATAAGGATCTGGTCATAAAAATTGGCTACACTTCATTTTTGGCAAGGAAATAACTATAATTCTCAGAATATAGACGAGTCCTTTAAAGCAGACAAGCTGCCACAGAAACCAACAAAATAAACCAGAGCCATATTTTCAAAAAATATCTGCACATGCAGTCAATTCAGCTGGAGCAAACAATCATAAGGTGACAACAGGTAAGCAAAAGTACGAACTGAGCTCAAAAGCTGAAACACTATGCCAGTACCTATACCTACAACCTTTATAAATAGGTTTCCATATTTAATAAATTTTATAACATTTAAATAGCTTCAAACTTTACATAAATTAAGTGCTTCAGTTTGATTACTAAGCTCCTATACTGATAGCTTGGCATGCTGGATGATAAAATTGATATGGATTTAACACGTCATCTTATCTATTTGAGTCCTCAGCATAAATGATATAATTAGGAATAAGACGGTCATCCACTAAGTCATGGAGAATGGCAGAATGCATAATCCACAAAAAGTCTTGTTCTTATTTGTTGCTTACAATGCATTGATGCTGCAGAATAGAGGCACATTTACAATGATTAACAAAATTTCACTTCATTTTGAGTATCCAAATCTTACGAATACAAAATCTTTTATGCACCTCAATGGCTAAAGAATATGTGTTCTATCTAAAGTTATTCTCAAAAGAGCACGCAGTATTATATTTTCAAGCTGGACTCTTCAGAGAACATATATCCAGTTAAGCAGTATAGTCAATGAAATAAGTGATTCAAATAGCATCATATTTGCAGGCAAAACGGTGGGAAAATGTACCTTCCAAATCCTTTCCACTGGCAGCAGCCGCAATTAAGTTGGCTTTTATCTGCTTGCGTAACCTATTTCTTCGATCAACCATGTTGGAATCACCTCCTGTAAATAAAGATACATATTTCTCTGTCTTCGGGAAAAACTGCATTTTCAATAAAAAACAAACTTTAGTTGTAAATACTTTGTCCCCTTCTACCAAAAATTATGTATCACAAGGCAAGTTAGTGAAAATGACATGCTGAGTTAATTTAGATTATAGCACTTCCCCAATAAAACAACACTTAATAATCAGTAAAATTTGGGAGAGTCTTAATAAAGCATTGGATCACCAAGTAATTATAATGTCAACTATAAATTATGTTGCAGAGCAATGAATTATCATGAACAACAGCAGGGCTAATTTATTCTCTAGATTAAAGCAGATCATCTTGTATCCATTCACAGCCATCCAAGTACACCAAGCATGCAACGTGTCACATGTCTTACCCTAACATATTCAAGATCTTCTTTCAATTTGGAAAGCTGCTTCACAATCTGTGCATCTTGGGCCTGACTGGAAGAAGTACGTTGCAGCTTCTCTAGACGCCTTATCCTCCTTTCTATCTTTCTTCTTTCTGAATAAAGCAAGTTCAAAGAATAGGATCATGGCTAATGCAATTTAATTCATATATCATCCCAGAGATCTACATATGAACAAAACAAAGTAACGAACTAAAGATCAACAAATAAAAGTACTTTCTTTTTACCAAAAAACTTAATCTTTCTGTCCCGCAAGAAAATTTTGCGTTCCACAGCCAAACGGGTATGAATTTCTTGTTGTTTCTTAAGTCCTTCTAGCTTCTTCTCTTGCGCTTCTCTAACTTCAGGTGGAAGTTCCTTGATGAAACAAACACAAAATAAAATTATTAAACAGCCACAGAAAATAGAACACATGCCAAAATGGGGAAAAATACAAAAGAAAACAAGATTAAAATCAGAAAACTAAGAAAAGAATTTTCATTTAAACAATAGAAATCCGAGTAATCCTAGCAAAAGCATCATAACTTCCTAAAATAACAACCCATTACTAGGAAAAATCAAAATTTTCAGTCTTCCCAGAAGGAAAGTAGCACTGTGGAATGCACAAGTGAATATACTCAACACTTCAACTTCATCAATTCAACACTTAGAACAAAGATTTTTATATTTTCACCTAAATTGACAATCATTTATCACAGCAGTTTCTTCTCTACAGCAAAATTTGGTGTGGGTGTGTGAGTGTGAGAGATACGCAGTTGATCGTTAACCAAGTGTTCCATGCAGCTATGGTTCCCATCACCACACAAAAGATTAAAAGAAAACCTAAACCCAGAAGCGAAGAGTGGTGAAAATTGAAGACAGTAATAATCGAGGAACTGCAATACTACCTTGCGAAGCATGCGCTCAATGGAGCGAATTTGGTTCTTGAGGGAGACGGCCTTAGGCTTGGTCTTCTTGTCCACGCCGGGTCCCTTTGATCGGCGACCAACGCGCTTGCCCACCGCCACGCGCCGCTTGCCGTAGCCACCGTGGGCCATAGTTACGAATTTACGACAGTCGAGCTCCTTTCTATCGTCGTCTTCTGATGCAGGGAGCAAAAGGATTGGATTGGGCGTTTTACTTTCTTCTTATTTTATTTT